GCTCTTGTTACCCAGGCTGGAGTGCAATGGCGCGATCTCGGCTCACCGCAACCTCCACCTCCTGGGTTCAGGCAATTCTCCTGCCCCAGCCTCCTGAGTAGCTGGGATTACAGGCACACGCCACCATGCCCAGCTGAATTTTTGTATTTTTAGTAGAGACGGGGTTTCACCACGTTGACCAGGATGGTCTCGATCTCTTGACCTCGTGATCCACCCGGCCTCCCACAGTGCTGGGATTACAGGCTTGAGCCACCGCGCCCGGCCTCTTTTCAAGGAATTTCTATGAAGATGGTCTTCGCATAGTGAAAACTTTTTATTTGAGTAACTGGGGACCAGGGGAAACTACAGATTACCTTTCTTTATAGATCCCCCCTGGGACTCAGGCAGACCAGAAGATTAGGATGGGTGGGAAAGGCATCCCCCGGATTAACAGCTATGGCTACGGAGACCACTACATCCACATCAAGATACGAGTTCCAAAGTAAGTGCCCCACTACACCATAGCCATGCCCGCCTGGTGCTGCGGTGGCACCGCCTCGGGAGCTCTGTGGCTTGGGCAGGTCACTGCTCCTGGTAAGTCAGGTGGTTCCTGCCCAAGTTCTCCATGTATAAAGTGGAAATAACAGAAAGGTCGACTTCTGGGAGTTGTTGGGAGACTTAAGTGAACAACACGTAGGAATTGCTTTGCTACTGCTGCTATTGTTGATTTTCTTTTTTTTTTTTTTTTTTTTTCTTTGAGACGGAGTTTCGCTCTTGTTACCCAGGCTGGAGTGCAATGGCGCAATCTCGGCTCACCGCAACCTCCGCCTCCTGGGTTCAGGCAATTCTCCTGCCTCAGCCTCCTGAGTAGCTGGGATTACAGGCACGTGCCACCATGCCGAGCTAATTTTTTGTATTTTTAGTAGAGACAGGGTTTCACCATGTTGACCAGGATGGTCTCGATCTCTTGACCTCGTGATCCACCCGCCTCGGCCTCCCAAAGTGCTGGGATTACAGGCTTGAGCCACCGCGCCCGGCCTATTGTTGATTTTCTTATTTCTTTTTTTAATTTGAGGAGTCTCTCGCTCTGTCACCCAGGCTGAAGTGCAGTGGCAGGATCTCGGCCCACTGAAACCTCCACCTCCCGGGATCAGGCGATTCTCCCGAGTAGCTGGCATTACAGTTGCCCACCGCCAGGCCTGGCTAATTTTTGTTTTTTTTTAGTAGAGATGGGGTTTCACTGGCCAGGCTAGTCTTGAATTCCTGACCTCCGGTGATCTGCCCATCTTGGCCTCCCTAAGTGCTGGGATTACAGGTGTGAGCCAGCACTCCTGGCCCGTTGATTTTATTGTTGTTAGCACTGATTTTATTGTTGATAGCACTGTTGAGAGCTGGAGAGGCGGCCTGGGCAGAGTGCTGTGGGTACCTAGGGCAGGACATGTCTGACTCTCCTCAGGAGCACTGTGCTTTCCATTAATTAGATAATTTCTTTTCTTTTTTTTGAGTCAGAGTCTCGCTCTGTCTCCGGGCTGGAGTACAGTGGCATGATCTTTGCTCACTGCAACCTTCACCTCCCGGATTCAAACAGTTCTCTTCCCTCAGCCTCGGTACTGGGATTCCAGGCATGCACCACCATGCCCGGCTTATTTTTGTGTTTTTAGTAGAGACAGGGTTCCATCATGTTGGTCTGGATGGCCTCGATCTCTTGACCTCATGATCCGCCCGCCTCAGCCTCCCAAAATGCTGGGATTACAGGCGCAAGCCACCGTTTCTGGCCCTAATTAGGTAATTTTTTATCACACGCACACTTGTAAAATCTGTTTCTCCTCCAGTAAACTGTATTTAGCATAGCCACAGTGACACTTGTTTAAACAACTTAGAGTGTTTTAGGAGATTTTTTGTACAGAATCTTTGAAGGCATGGTCCTTAGGCTCTCACCACTGCACTGACACAGGATTTGTGCCCCTCCCGGGGTCGGGTCCCTCTCCCACGTGCTGTGAGGGTGCTGGTCCCCTGTGTGTTCTTTCCAAAGCTTCCCAGCAGAAGCCTTGGCCTCTGACTCTGCTCGGTCCACAGGAGGCTAACAAGCCGGCAGCATAACCTGATCCTGAGCTACGCTGAGGACGAGACAGATGTGGAGGGGACGGTGAATGGCGTCACTCTCACCAGCTCTGGTAAGGGGTCTAGAGATGACTACACAGCAACACCTGGGGGCCTCAGAGCCCCCCAGAGTGTGGATGATTCAGGGCAGCATGTTGGGATTTCCACTTGGGGTTCTTCAGGAAGAAGAGGAGGGGGGCTGTGGGCGTGAACAGCAGGTGGGGAGCCGCAGCCCCCAGTTCAAGCTTCTCCTCTCTCTGCGTGTTTCTGTGCTGAGGTGAGAGTGCCAGGGCGCTTCCTGCCAGGCAGCTCTGTGTGTCTCAGACCCAGTGTTCTGAGTTCTATCCTTGGTTCTGCCACTTGTCCTGTGACCTTGGACACATCCCTGAGAGCTCCTGGCAAAAGCTTAAGGAGAGGATGGATTGGAAGGATTTATGCATTTCCCACCCAGGACACTCTGCCAGGATTTCAGAGTGTCTTATAAACACCAGCAGCCACAGCAGTGGAGCCGCAATCAGAGGACTCAGTCCACCTCTTTAGAGCAGGACTCACTCTGAATTCGTTTAGCCGCAAACAGATGTGCCATCTACCCTGAGCTCGGACGTCATGCTAGTGAGTGGCCGAGTGTTAGCGATCTGACACCAGAATACCTGCTGTGGGCGCTGTAGCAGTGGCACCCCAGCCGCAGCCCCTCTTCCTGTGGGAGGCAGGGCCTCTGTTTCCTGGGATTCCTGCTCAGGGCAGGGCAGGCTGTGCCCAGGGGGTGCTTGGCTCAGGCTGCACGTGTTTCCTCCTCATTGCATCATTTTGTTTTTGTCTGGATCCTGGGTGGAGTTCTTAGCACTTGAGTGGCCTTAGATGAGTGCATGGTAATTCATAGCTGGTGTTTGGAGCTGGGGGCAGACTTTCCAATAAAGTGGAGGATTTGGAGCTCCAGGGGCAGGGGTTGGATAGAAGTCCCAGGAATTTCACTGAACTCCTGTTGATCCTAGGGGACTGGAAGTCCTCTGTTAAAACAGCAGCTGCCGGCCGGGTGTAGTAGCTCATGCCTGTAATCCAGCATTTTGGGAGGCCGAGGAGGGTTGATCACTTGAGGTCAGGTGTACGAGACCAGTCTAGCCAACATGGCGAAACCCTGTCTCTGCTAAAAATATAAAAATTAGCTGGGCATGATGGTGCACGCCTGTCATCTCAGCTGCTTGGGAGGCAGAGGCAGGAGAATCGCTTGAACCCAGGGGAGGCGGAGGCTGCAGTGAGCCAAGATTGCGCCATTGCACGCTAGCCGGGGCGACAGAGTGAGACTGTCTCCAAAAAAAAAAGCAGCTGCCACAAAACTCTGTAGCCCAACCAGGTTCTGAATAGCACTTATTTTAAAGGTTTGGTATACTATCCTCTTTTGTTCTTGTATCTCTTGAACTAAAAAAAGAGGTGGTAATAGAGTAACTCTTCCACAGAACTCTTACAATTAACATGCTGAGTTCAGGTCTATATTCTAACTCAACAAATGTGTGTACTCCTTGTCTAGTGGTTGGCAAATCTGTAACACATTTGTGCAAGAGAGTACCTCTAGGTGGTATCAGCCTGGACCCTAAAGAAACAGCAGCACAGCTTCCCTAGGTCAAGAGCACTTAGGTTAGGTGCCCCAAATGGGGACAGCTTGCTCCGGGAGACACAGACTGCTGATGTGAGGGATGAGATGAAGTGCGTATGACAGAGGATTGTGTGTGGCCATGACTGCAACATGGGCTGGTCTGCAGGGTGTTTGCACACGCAGCAGCATGGAATCTGATCAGTTGGTCTAGAAATAGGGCGTTTTTCTTGGTGGTCGTTATTTACCACCTTCTGGCCAACAGCATGGTGGTTGAGAACCTAGGCTTTGGAATCAGACTGCTTGGGCTTGCACTCAGTCCTCCCTCCTGCTTGTTGTCTCTGAGGCCTTGGGTAAACCACCTAACCTCTCTGTGCTTCCTTTTTCTGTCTTTTTTTTTTTCGTCTGTGAAATTTACCTCTAAGGAAGTGTGTAGCCTGGCCTGGGAGGTGCCTGGCACTGACTGTTTTTGTCACTGTTGCTCAGATAGAGGCAGCTGTCATGGTCTATTTCTATTTCTTGTTTCCCTTCTATGGGTTCATGACTCAAAAGAGCGGTGGGAGACCAGACCCTAAGCCTCTGAGTGGCCTGTTCGCTTCTGTTGTCGGCCAGGTGGGGCAGCCCGTGGCAACTTAGGAGTGGCCCCTACTCTTCTTGAGGTGGTGCTTGGCTGCTCCTTGAATATGGGACCCTGGGTGGCCAGGCAGGGGTAGGTGGGGCCTGGGATGTGACCGTGGAGGTGCAGGCCCCTGACCCCAGTTCTTTCTGCTGTTTGTGCCCAGGTGGCAGCACCATGGATAGCTCCGCAGGAAGCAAGGCTAGGCGTGAGGCTGGGGAGGACACGGAGGGATTCCTTTCCAAACTTAAGAAAATGTTTACCTCCTGATATCCCACCCGAGGTAGGAAAACCCTAGAGGTTTTTTCCCTTTGTTTTCCTCGTGAACTAATCCTGGTTTTCTCCCACTTTTACCAATATTATGCCCCCACCCCCAGGAGTTGGAACAGGTGCCAATCTAAGGTATGGTAAACCTAGCTCCACTAGGAGCCACCTCTCAGCCTAGGGAATAGATGACATGGCAGTCAGCCTGTAGTGCAGGACTGGCTGGGCTGCCGCGGCCAGCCTCTGGCTGTGTCCTCTTCCTGAGGAGGTGGCGATGGGGGGGCTGTAAAACAGCCCCCCTGCAGTGGTGGGTCCTGCTTGCCCATGGTCACAGAGGGTGAGTAAGGCAGAGCCAGGCCTAGAACTCAGATCTTCTCACATCCTGCCTGCTTCGAAGCTGCCCGCCTCCCTGGACAGTGCAGGGCTGTGTATGCCTGGGGGCTGTTCCAGGGGTATCGCTTGCTCTCCTTGTCATCTTTGGACCCACTTTTATTTATTATGCTCATCTCAGTGGCTGGGGTTCTCGCCCTTCTCTTGGCATAGCTACTTTCCAGAGATTAACAGATGCTCCCCACAGGGGTGTGTTGCCTTAGGATGTTGAGTGTAAGGTAACTGCCTGTCTCTTTGGCTCAGGAAAAAGATCCACTGGAAACTAGGCCGGAAAGCAGCAGCCCCACCCCGTGGCCAGGGCATCTCGGAGACAGGAGGATTCCAGAACAGCAGCGCCAAGTTCCCACCTGCAGCGCCTCTGGACTGCCTTGGCAACAGTAAAATCATCGGACAACACATCTCTCCTTGGAAAGGTCAAAATGGACAGCCCGGGCAGTAGGACGCAGCCCTGAAGGCTGGTGGGAATTTCCTGTCCTAGCTCAGGAGAGGGAGACAGTTAGACTCTTTCTTGCAGGGCTAAAACTCTAATTTGGAATTGAATGCTGTAGAGATCTTAAAGAATTAAAGGCCATGCTTACAGCTTAGAAATGAAGCCTTAAGCTTCATCAAGTTATGAAGTGATTAATTTCCTTCTCAGCAAACTTCCAGGAGATTCTGGAATGAGTTCTTCCTGACAGGTTGTCTTCACTGGGAGCCTGGGACCCCCAGGCCCCACCAATACCGTCTTCCCCTGATGAGGGGCCCTGCCGAGGTGTCAGCTGCTCTGCTCAGTTAGTTTTTATTCCCAGGGGTACCAAGCAGCTGTGCAGTGGGGGCTTGGGAGCCACATAGAGGCCCAAAGGTCCCTGGGGGTTCTGCTCCTGACCACATGGGTGATGATCCTTGTCAGGATAGACAGTCCTTGTCCCCACCTCATCCAGAATGGCTGCTTGTCCCTGACCGTCAAGTCCTATTGTTGTAAGCCAGGCATGGAGGTCTCCTGCCCTTCTGTTGAGCCACAGCCTGCTGTAGCCACTATGCCAGGCAGACTTCAGCTGCCTCGGGAACTGAAGCCCTGCCACTGTTGCTAGCCAGGGGCTTGGTTCTCCCATGCACACTGTTGACATCTATTTTCTGAAGTGTGTTTAAATTATTCAGTGCTAATCATTGTTTTTTCCTGTGTAAATGTTTATTCAGAAAGGAAAGCGCAGGCTAAGCAGTTGAAGGTTCCCCACCGTTCAGCCAGAGCAGAACCCTGCATTCCCCAGCCTCTGCTGGTAGCATGTTGCTGTTTCCATGTGTTTCGGGATCCTCGAGCTAGCATAAGACAGGTTAATGAAGAACATTTCTCAGTACTTTCCTTTTGTTTTCCTTTATAATTCACTAAAATAAAGCATCTATTAGTGTCTGATTTAAGAATGTAAAATGAATCTGTATTAATGTAAATAAGATTATCTATTGCAAAAAGGTATTAAATTGTGGTCATTTCTTCTTTGAAAGAATTCAGACAGCTTCTGCAAGAGGCTTATGGGGGTTACAGGAGACTTGGCTGGCCTCATCCTGTGCTCACGCCCACCCAGGGCACATACAGGCAGACAGGTCTGGGGTGCCGACAGTGCTGACCTTCACCCAGATTCCAGAGCAGGGTGCTTGCCATGACATGACAGTCCCGTGTGAGTGAATGTTCTAGAATCTGGATGCGACTTTTTCCTTAGGAGTGCGTGCTGTGAGAGCTGGGCAGCCTTGCTGGGTGCCTGCATTTCATTCTTCCTCACTATATTGTTTTCTCTCTGTTCTTTTCAGAGTCTTTGCATCTTTTACATTCAATTTTTTTTTTTTTTTTTTTTTTGAGACAGAGTCGCACTCCCTTTCCCAGGCTGGAATGCAGTGGCACTGTCTCTGCTCACTGCAACCTCTGCCTCCTGAGTTCAAGTGATTCTCCTGCGTCAGCCTCCTGAGTAGCTGGGACTACAGGCGCCCACCACTGTGCCTGACTAATTTTTGTATTTTTAGTAGAGGCAGGGGTTTCACCATGTTGGCCAGGCTGGTCTTGAACTCCTGACCTCAAGTGATCCGCCCGCCTCAGCCTCCCAAAGTGCTGGGATTACAGGTGTGAGCCACCATGCCCAGCCAAAATTTTTATGTATTATAGTTTGGCTACTCTGGGTTTGCAGCTGAGCTCTATGCCTGGCATGGCTGGAGGGGCCCTGACGCACAGCTCAGTCCACCCTGGCTTTCCAGGCCGAGCAGAGTGAGATGAGAGCACATTTGCTGGGTCAGGTGGAGAAAAAACTTGGGAAAGAGCTGATGGACAGGAAAGGCGCAGCAGTGACATTCTGCTCATCTCAGATACTTCCCAGTGTTTTCATCAACAAAATATTTACTGCCTGCCTACTGAGGACACTCAGTATGGACCAGGCACTATTCTAGATCCTCTAGATCCTGGGGATACAGCAGTGGGGAGCTAGACTGCATCTCTTGTGAAAGCTTGGGCTTACTCCTAGAACAGTCACCCTGAGTCTGATTCATGTCCTATTGCTTCAAAGCAGAAGTCTAGAGAAAGACTTTGGAAGAGAAAGGTGGATTTTCTTGCTAGAGAAACCATTGTTGTGTTGATGCATCCTTCACTCAAGGGATTAGAAGGTGGCTGTGCAGCAGCTGTAGAATTCATTGCCCCTTCCAAGGTTGGGTTTGGTTTATTTCCACATGTCCTCCTGACACATTTGTTACCAGACTTTTTTTTCTTTTTTTTTTTTGAGACGGATTTTCACTCTTGTTGCCCAGGCTGGAGTGCAATGGTGCGATCTCAGCTCACCACAATCTCTGCCTCCCAGGTTCTAGTGATTCTACCTCAGCCTCCCAAATAGCTGGGATTACAGGCATGTGCCACCATGCCCAGCTAATTATGTATTTTTAGTAGAGACAGTTTCTCTATGTTGGTCAGGCTGGTCTCGAACTCCCGACCTCAGGTGATCTGCCCGCCTTGGCCACCCCATGTGCTGGGATTACAGGTGTGAGTCACCACACCCGGCTTCAGACTTCTTTATAGCTTCTGAGTAGGGGTATGTATTTAAAAATACAAGAAGGCCGGGTGTGGTGGCTCACGCCTATAATCCCAGCACTTTGGAAGGCCAAGGCGGGTGGATTACTTGAGATCAGGTGTTCGAAACTTCCATCTCTAGAAATAAATAAATAAATAAATAAATAAATAAAATACAATAAATAAATAAATAAATAAAAATACAAGAAAAGGGCCAGGCATGGTGGCTCACACCTGTAATCCCAACATTTTAGGAGACCAAGGTGGGAAGACTGTGTGAGCCCAGGAGTTCAAGATCAGCCTGGGCAACAGACCCCCATCTCTAGAAAACAGTTTTTAAAAACTTAGCTGGGGGTGGTGGCTTGCACCTGTAGTCCCAGCTACCCGGAAGTCTTGAAGTGGGAGGACGGCTTGAGCTGAGGAGTTCAAGGCTGCAGTGAGCTCTGATTGTGCCACTGCACTCCAGCTTAGGTGGCAGAGCCAGACCCTCTCTCAAGAAAAAAAGAGTATCTCTAGGCCCATGAGCCTGTGGGAGAGGCATGTTTGGCACTTGCTTCAACATTAGGAGGGTGGACAAGGCCAGCTTTCAGGCACTGATCCTCAGCCCCTTCCCCCACCTCAGGTCTGGGCTTGGGTTGTTTCCAACCGGAGCCCCCTCCTCACTCATAGTCCTTTGGTTTCTAGTGGACTGGCCTTTGTTTCCTTCCCTGTCATCAAAAACCCCCGTCAGTGTGCAGGAATCCTTCCCAGGCCCACAGCCCTCCACCTGCCCCGCCCCTTTGTGTTTGCAGCATTGCAGAGCTGGCTCTGATGTAGACGATGGCAGCTGTCCGGCTCCTGCAAGAGGCTTGTTTCACACCCTTGCTTGTTAATAAGTACTACTGTGCATGTCTTATCTTTTTTTTTTTTTTTTTTGAGACGGAGTTTCACTCTTGTTACCCAGGCTGGAGTGCAATGGCGCGATCTCGGCTCACCGCAACCTCCGCCTCCTGGGTTCAGGCAATTCTCCTGCCTCCACCTCCTCAGTAGCTGGGATTACAGGCTCGCGCCACCATGCCCAGCTAATGTTTTTGTATTTTTAGTAGAGACAGGGTTTCACCATGTTGACCAGGATGGTCTCGATCTCTTGACCTCGTGATCCACCCGCCTCAGCCTCCCAAAGTGCTGGGATTACAGGCTTGAGCCACTGCGCCCGGCCTGTTTGTTTTTTTTTTAAGACAGATTTTCACTCTTCCCCTGGCTGGCCTTCGGTGGTACAATCACAGCTCATCACAGTCTTTGCTTCCTGGGCTCAAGTGATCCTCCCATCTCAGCTTCCTGAGTAGCTGGGAGCACAGGTGCATGCCACCACACCTGCCACCATTTCTTCTGTGTTCTTTTGTTTTTGAGACAGAATCTCCTTCTGTTGTCCAGGATGGAGTGCAGTGGCACAGCCTCGACTCACTACAACCTCCACCTCCTGGGTTCAAGCGATTCTCCTGCCTCAGCCTCCTGAGTAGCTGGGATTACACGCACCTACCACCAGACCTGGTATACTCACAGGTACATGCCACCACACCCAGCTGATTTTTGTATTTTTTGGTACAGACGGGGTTTTGCCATGGCCAGGCTGGTTTCAAACTCCTGACCTCAAGTGATCTGCCTGCCTTGGCCTCCCAAAGTGCTGGGATTATAGGCATGAGCCACTGTGTCCAGCCTTCGTAGAAACAGGGTTTCACCATGATCAGGCTGTTCTCAAACTCCTGACCTCAGGTGATCGCCCACCTCAGCCTCTCAAAGTGCTGGGATTACAGGCGTAAGCCACTGCGCCCAGCCTTAAGCCACAAGCCACTGTGCCCCACCTAATTTCTTTTTTTTAAATTTTTTAGTAAAGATGGGATCTTGCTATGTTGCCCATGCCAGTCTCAAACTCCTAAGCTCAAGCGATCTTCTACCTCGGCCTCCCAAAGTGCTGCGATTATAGGCATGAATTCATAACTATTTATTGTGTTTCTATCAGGCTCTCCCACTAAATATAAGCTCCTTAAAGCAGGGAGCATAACTTTTTTTGACACATTATATTTAGGGCCCAGCACACTGGTAAATTGTCAAAAAAACATGCTTCAATCAATGGATAGAATTAATTTTTATGCCTGGGGGTACCAGAGCCAGGGTGGGCAAATAAAAAAAAAAAAATTGTGATGGTGGTCACGCAGACCCAAACATGTTGAAATTCATAGAACTGCTGGGCTCAGTGGCTCACACCTGTAATCCCAACTATTCAGGAGGTAGAGGTGGGAAGATCGCTTAAGCCTGGGAGGTCAAGGCTGCAGTGAGCTAGGACTGCGTCACTCACTCCAGCCTGGGCAACAGAGCGAGACCTTGACTCTTAAGAAAAAATATCACAGAGCTGCCACAGACTGCTGTCAGGCAAATGACTCATCTCTCAGCCTCTGTCCTTCTCTGTGACCCACACCAGCAAGCAAGGTGGGCTTTTCTCTTTCAGTTTTGCTTCCCAACCTTTGCCACAGGCAGCGTCACCTTTACCCAGCCTTGTCCAATTACTGTGCCCTGCAGGGCAGAGCTCTGCCACATCCGTTTTTCCTTTTTCCAACCTGTTTGAAGGTCACCTAAGTCCTGGAAGACACCTGAAGTTCGGCTCCTCCCAGGACAAGGATGAGGTGGGAAAGGGGGAGGCCTTTGTCTCCCCAACCTCCTGTAATGCCTGTCCCCAGCTTACATGTGCAGGTGGCCTCACTAGCTCTGGAGAGGAAGGGGATGTGTCAGAAGCACCGCTCCTGGGGCTCCTCTGTGTCCTGTGCTATGTCCCTGTCTGTGAATGAATTTCAAGTGTGGTGGGAACAGAGGCTGCTGATCAGAGCCACTCTACTAGCTGAGGTCAGATTGGGCCACTTCACACCTGTTTGACTAAACACACATTTAGGTTGCTCGTCACAGTCACCAAGTGATCCCTTCAGCCTTGAACCCCTGCTTACTGCTATGTTGGTACCCAGCTACCACCCCAGCCAAATCCTGGAAGAAGAGTCCTTTTCTCCTGGAAGCCATCTGGGAGAAAATTGGCTTTATTGAGAAAGCTTTTTGGTAACATAGGGAAGGATGATGGTGCCTCTCTCCCTCTGGTACCCCCCACCCAACGCCCACAAGGGGCTGCAAGGCAGGCAGGTCACAGCAGGGCAAAGTCCCCTTTGTGATGTTCCAGCCACTGGTCCAGCGTCAGGGCCTTGGGGTTGAGTCTCAGTGTCAGCTCGATGTCACGGTCGGGTCTCAGGGCATAGAAACGGAACATGTTGGCCAGGTCCTGGGCCCCAGGGAAGCCAAGCTTTTCGTAGTCCTCAGGAGTCATCTGGAAGCAGAGGATCCTGTCATGGCTGGCATCCTCCAGTGCCCCAGGAGGTGGTGTGGGGAGGCTGGGGTCTCCTGA